GCAACGGATTCCCTAAACCCTATACCCTAAACCCCGCACAAAACCTGCACATGTGAATGATCAATCCTGCGCATGTCTTGATAACTCAGGCGCATCTATTTGATAAATCGAGCGCTTGTCTCTGATAAAACTGGCCAGTATTCCCCAACCGTGGCGCAATTAAAACTCAAGAAATTTGAAAAAAAGACTGCTCCCCATACATACACACATACATACATACATACATTCATTCATTCATACATGCATACATCATAAATATTATATATATATATATATACACATGCATTGTCGCATTATAAATTATATAATGGTTTTAACTAAATACGACTGATATGGCTCGTGAAGGAAGAAAAGCACGCCCCTGACCCCTGTAGATTACTCATTTTCAAGACCTAGCTGAGCACCAAATCAGGAAACTGAGCTTTCAGGTAATTTGATTGTATATACTATCCACGGTTTTTGAAAGCTTGGTACACTTCTCGATTTGCTAGGGCTTAGGGTTAAGCGATCCAGGTGCAGATGCTACAGTACTTCGGGAATGCAAGAAAGCTGCTAGGTAAGGCATCATGCACTCGGAATCGAAGATTCCCTGAATAAATAGATTTAAACAGTCAGGGAACACTTGTGAACCAAGGAATGTTGTCTGCGTCCCGCATATATCAGCCACAAACATGTCTCAGCCGTGCTTCAGAACTACCCTATGAAAGTTCTGGAACTACACTACAGTTGGTTCTAATTCCACTGGGAGTGCCCAAGCACAGGCCCTCACCACGCAGGGGCTAACGAACTGTCCAGCCGAGGTTCAGGGTGAAAGAGGTAAAGCTCATGCCAGGCTCAAAGTGGCGGAGACTGACTTTCAGCTCAGCAGAAACGCCCGGTATGTTCCTCCACGCCAGGCTCTCCTTGGCCGTGATGCCATGTACCAGCCAGGCCATCAGGTAACCGCTCAGCGGCAACACCTTTTCTGGGGTATCACATGGTTCGAGAGAGTGAGATTAATACATCACGGCAGCAAAAGGGCCTTACTAATTAGAACAGGGTTTGGAGGTATAGTGTACTATACTTATAATCAGGAACCCACATTGGCTCCTGTCAGGCCCGCTTCCTGTGGCAGTTGACCCAAGAAAGGAACATGATGATTATGAGGAGGAGGAGGAGGAGGAAGATGACGATGAGGATGACGATGACGATGATGATGATGACGATGATGATGATGATGATGATGATGAGGAGATGATGATGATGATGATGATGACGGTCTCGAAACACCCAGGGGGCAGCCAACTGTACAAAAGACTCATTCATCATGCCAGGAAGCGTGGTACAGCACAACTTTGTCCTCGTTTTGCTCCTCGACCTCTTCAACAGCGGCCCGCAACTGGTCGTTTCCGTGCTGCGTAAACAGTTGCTGCCTCCGTGCATCCTTGACGTAGGCCTCGGTTCTGGAGCAGGCGCGCTGCATAACTACCACGTTACTGGTTCCCTGTTGGGGCCATATTAAAAATGATCATTTTTAATTTTTATTAGGGTTTTATTATAACAAAAATGTAAAATTGTATCCAACAAGGCCCCAGAGTTAGAAACAAGCTCAGAGCAAAGAACAAACAACAGTGCTTCACAACCCGAAGGCATCAAAGCGCTCCGCCGAAACTGCGGCGAAAGTCAGTGAGAGCAGAAACCACAGAGCCATGGTGCGGGCTATCACCCTGCATCCCAGAGTGTGCACTGCGGATTCGCAAGAAAGAACACACATGGTAGAATCTCGTAATCAGTAATCAGCCGCCTGAACCCCTATAAACAAGACTCCAAAGACCTACGAAGTAGTTAGCCCCAGACCCATGAATCTTGAATCCAAACAGAATTCCGTCGTCTATTCGGGTAAGTATGCAAGTAGAGCCTAGACCCTAAACCCTAGTATCAAGATCACCTGCGAGGTGCCACCCAAATAGTTGAACCACCAAGTGCTTCATCCTAGGGTTGATGATATAAATCGTGCAGTACCCATAGTAAGGAATATACCATAATTCCCATAGTTTAGGGTCCTTAGGGTAATGTCGGATTTATATCATCAACAGTAGGAACTGAAAGTCTGAAGCCCAAGACTTTCATGACACCGCTCTTGTAATCAAGAACTGTTGTACCGATGTAATTTTGTTCTTATTCGTGGTTGCGGTGGCAGTAGCAGTAGCAGTAGCCGAAGTAAAAGTGGACGTAGCACCAGAAGTAGAAGTAGAAACACCTGAAAGTCATTCAGAGCCCCAATATTACAATACTCTACTATACCCCGAAAGCCTTTTCCAAGTCTGACGGTAGATCAGATCAAGTTGCCACTCTATGGCATGGTGAGGATACCTTCCAGGATGTAGGCTGAGGAAGGTAGGGTTTAGGCTAGAAGCCCGTGAATGATCATCCCTTCCATTTACCTCTCAATCCCTCACACCCTGTCATACACCAAGTGGATGCCCAATTTATTTTCTGTCCGCGAGCTGCGTCGTTCCGCTGAGTCTATCAGAAAGCCCCAGTCCCGAGATCTAAATGAACTAGTTGAGTTTCGACAACTCTTGTACGAGGGGTCCGCGCAAACGGGGGCACTCTGTACACGCTACATCATGGAGCTAGAGAAAGGGAGAGAGAGAGAGAGAGAGGGAGAACAAAAAAGACAGACAGATGGAGAGCTAGAGGGACAGACAGACCAACAGACAAACAGAAAGAAAAACAGGCAGATCGGCTTTCGTGTTTAACTGTCTTGATTCTTGTCTTATTCATGTAACCCTGATTCTATTTGCTTGAATTGCCATGCATGCATGCACGAACCCACACCTCCGAACATACACAAATGCATGCATGCAGGCACACATACCTACGCAAACAGAAGGGACAGCTCTCTACACGAACATATGCACACACACACACACGCGCGCAGACATACAAGCATGATTACATACATACATAAATACATGCATACATACCTACATACATGCATGCATGCATACATACGTACATACGTACGTACCATGTGCATGCATACGCACATACGTACATATAGACATACACACACACACCTACATACACATACATATGCAGACATGTACCTTCATACGCACATACACATAAACGTACGTACATGCACATGCACATACATACATATACGTAGACATACATGCACAGACGCATACATACACTTACGTACATGTGAAAACACATGAACACATTACATACATGCATGGACATACAAAAGCACGCACTTACATAGACTTACATGCATCGACATACATAGACATACACCGACATTCAGAGCCATACAGCCAACATGCAATACACAAACATACACAAACCAGCATATACATATATATATATAT